AGACTCTTGTGCCATTTAGATAGGGCCCATCCTGGTGACCCTTCGTCTTTTGGCCGAGGTAGGTGAACCCCTCCTTGCTGCACGTGCTGATCACCGCTACCGCAGGCACGGAGCTGCCTCTCTGGCTGGCTAGTCTTAAAACCCAGTTAGCATCACGGATTCTGCCAGCAAATTTCTCTTTCTTTGTAGGACATTTTTGAAGCTGACACGTACTGCTGTGCCTCAGTGACACTGAGCAACACAAGGTTCGTCCTCACAGGTAAGTAGTCAAGATGTTTTATGATGGTTTCCCCAATGAGGGTATACCCTGCTTTCCACCCAGCTGCTGGGAAACCGAAGCCAAAGGAAAGGACAAACTGAGAGATATCACTCTCTCCAAGCCAGTCAGATCACAGACCAACTCCCCAAGAGCACACCCACCACTAACCAAAGATGAGAGCAGACCCTCAGGGAAGATGCTGTGCTCAATGGGGGGACTGCCACAGCAAACAGAAGCACAGCAGAACTGTTTGCCAATTTCCAAAACCAAAGAAAATGGACACAGCCAGAAAAATAAGTAAAACTGAGGATACTGGAGGTCTTGAGCTGTTCAGAGGCAGGTCACCGCTAATTCCATGCCATTAAAGAAACTCTGGACACAGGCAGATCCGGTCTCTGTGATCCTTGGAGTAATGCACCAGCTGGTCCTCTGAGAATTAACATGTTTTATCCTAAAGAGTCTTTAGGCTCACCACAAAGGAACCAGGCAAAAAGATATTCAGAAGGCATGAGCAGCAGTCCCCCCTAGATTTAAAATAATTCCCATTTCACCTAAGAGGCTTCTACAGATACCTGCACTAGCACCAGAAAGTGCTGAGTACCTTCCCCTGGGCACGGGGTTACAGAGGTGAAGACACCTCTACAGTCACCAACAGCCAGACATTTGCCTTCTCCAGACTTTGCTGGTCAACTGCGCTCCCACAGCGATGACGATACAGCTCCCCATGAAACTCAGAGCTCAACAGCTCAGGACAAGAAGCAGGCAGCAGTTGGGAGCTAGGTGTTCCCAAGATCTTGGCTGGGAAACGGTATAGCTGAGCATATCTCCCAGCACAATTACCTGGGAAAGTCTGCTGCACGCTCCTTTGAGGCAGGTTAGGACAGGCAGCACACACTGATAAAGCCACCAGCTTTTAAACGGAGCCCAAACAACTCCAGGAGCAAGATTCCTGGCTTGCAAAGAGAAAGTGATGGAGACCAGCTAATCCTGAAAGCAGGCCCATGACACACAGAGCGTTGTGGCTCTCCGATAAGCCGAGGCTCTACAACAAGCAATGCCTCTGCTCAGGGAGAGCCACCTTCCCTGCCCTCCCTCCTCTCACCTCAAATTGTATGAACATAACAATGTTCCTAGCAGGAGTTTCATATGAGCAGGAACGCTGATACTATCAGGATCAGTGGTTGTTTCAGCGGAGAAGCAAGAATAACTTGTTTAGCGCTTCTAAGGAGCCATGCTGCAGGCTGGGGACCAGGAGAAAATTTCTGCTTTTGACAAGGGTCCAGAAAGTTTCTCCCATTTTAGGATTTAGCCTCAATTTAGGAGAGTGGAAAAAAAAAAATAATATTTTGTTTTAAAGAGCATCTTCTTCCCAATCAAGTGCTGGACACAGCAATAGAAAAAGTTTTTAATTTATACACAGGGCAGCTTTTGCACATGCTTGTTCCTTGCATGTAGCTGCCAGCACCAAAAGAAATTGAGAAAAAGGAAAACTACCAGCCCAGGGAGGGGGAAACTGCATTCCTATTAGTGCACTAAAAATGCACTCGCTCCACTTAGAGCTCTAAGAATGCAGCCCAGATTTTTTTTTTTTTCCACTAGAATTTGAAAAGAATAAATCAAAGTAATTACAGCACTGCCCTTTCAGAATTGCTTTGCAAAGCTGAAATCAGAGCTTCAAAAGGTTTTTACTTGCAGCCAGCAAATCCAGAGAAGCAGAGATGCCTACTTCGGGCAGCTGCACTAGCCCCAAGACGTGCTTCAGGAGCCACTTCCACATGGAAAAACAGCCCGGGTTGAATTAAAGCAGCTTACAAAGTCTGTATTTGTATCTCATTTCCCCCAGCCCTTATTACCTACACATCTGCATGAAATCAGGATCACGCCTTCCAAAAGGTTCCCTGGCTTCTGGCGCAGCCCTCCACACCCCACACTTATAGAACATTTATTGTCCAAGAACTCCAGAGCAGAGATAGACAGTTCATCAATCCTATACTATGGGGAAATTAAAGTATGATTTATTAAACAAAAGGCCAGGAATGGAAGTAAGAGTTGAATCTGAGTGCTTTGACTTTTGACATAAAGGTTTAGTGCAATGGGGACTGCTGCCACCCTAGCAGGGCAGCACGGTGTCATTAGCTACATTTCATTAGCGAGGTAATGACTGCTGACTACTGATCCTGGTTTCGTGCAGAGGCAGGTAGGGTTCATGAACAAAGGCTTCTCCTCTGCCATCTGAACAGAGATCTGTCTCTCAGCAAACCATGGACAGGGTGGATAAAAAAACCACATATTTAAAAATAAATATATTTTTCTTTGAAGTTGACAGTTGTGTTAACTTTCAGAAACTCTACCTGGGAACAATTTCCCAGGAATTGTTCAAATTAAATATAAAAAGCAATTAGGTAGTTCACGTTTGCTGCATAAGCTTTAAAGTACAGACAACAGCACTGGTGACAGTCACCGGTTTAATGCATGGCACTAAATTTAAAACATGTTCTTAAGTGAACCAGAAACTGTGTTTTCCTCCTCTAATCAACTGACAGAGTTCTGAGAGGAGAGCTACTAGTTACAGAAGACTGAAAACACACTCCGTCCAGAAACAGTTAGCTATATTCGGTAACTATAATATTTCCATTAAACAATTATTATTTAAGGCACAACTTGACAAGACAGTTTCTTAAGAGTCCAACGTAGAGCAGTTTAACCAACAAGAATGCTACACCGCTGGTCTCGGGTGATTCAGTTGCACTTCCATCCCAACACAGCTTGGTTCAAGATACAGATTAAAAAAAAAGTATCTTTTCTTTTTAGAATAACTTTCTTTTTTGCCATTTTGACGTAACAAAATGCAAAACTAGGAGTCTGAAAAAATACATTTTAAACTACATGCATATTCTTTACAGACTTAAGCTCTATGTTAAATGTAGCACAAAGTTTGATATGAAGCTTATACTGAGTTGTAAATGCAGATGTTTTGTTGTTCCTGACCAGTGACAAACAAATTCTCCTTTGAGGTAAACCAACAAGTGAATATGCAAAAGAAGATTAAAATCAATGATTTAAAACAAGACTTGCTGATTTAAGCCACAGCTGAAGTCTGGCAATGTAAATACATCCACCCTGGCCATAGAGGCCCTCAGTTCTCCCCATCAGCCCACAGATGGTTTCCTTCTTAGGTCAAAAAACGAGGAATACTACAGGGCAGCACAAGGGACACTGGCCACCTCTCCACGTTGTACCTGTATTAGGAAAAGAGGACTTCAATCTCCAAGGCTGCCATTCCAACACCTTCACTAGAACTAAATTCACAGGAAACCTAAGGACCTAAGAGACAGAACATGGAAACTTGATCAGGATTTCTAAGGCATCCTGCTGCATTCAGCTCTGCTCAGGAAAAACTGGATCTGAATAGAAAGTGTTTTCAATTTGTCCAGAGATACTTTTCAAGCACTTACAAGGATCTAATTTATTACCTCCCCAAAATAAAGGCAACCATAGGCTTCAACAGAAGAAGAGAAGGGGCCTAAACAAAAATTCTGGATTGGGATATCCTCCAGTTTGGAGGAATGCACATCTGGATGGGAGCATTGAGCTTGTCTCATTTCTAAAAATACACCATTTGTTGCTCATTAGTGGGATGTTTATACTTTGCATAAAACACATAAGCCGTTTTACGGTTTGTCATACATATCTCTCCCTGCTGAAACCTCTGCAGATCCCTTCAATAAAACATAAAAGTTTACCCCCAAATCCAGAGCACTGCTGCAGAAGCCGTCAGCACTACGTGCACAGAGCCGCTGATCAGCCAAAAGCCTCTACTAAGAGGAAGCCAAGAGCTTCTGCAGCCTGAATCTCTCTTTACCCACAGAACAAAAAGAATACTTTGTCCCATGGCCATCGGAAGCCTGCCATAACGTACCAGCAGCCCACACGAACCCAATTCACACCAAGGACAGCACGTTTCAGCCACCTTAGCTCTCAATACAGAGAGGAAATTTTACATAGTCTTATGGGATACAGTGTTGATTGGAATGGTTTAAACATGCTGATTTAGATAAAAAGGTTTTGAAATCTGTAGGAATGCACTACCATTATATGAAAAAGACTCCACGGATGATGTTTTGACCATTCTTGCTACAGCTAGCCAAAGGCTAACATGTGTACCTGGCAAGAAACACACAGACAGGGTTTCAGGCAGTAAATCCTCCTAATAGCCATCTCCCAACAGCCTGTGTTGAGGTGGTCGTTTATCCCAAAAAGTGGCTTTGGGTTAGCCTCAATTCCACAGACTCGCCATGTAAATGTCAGATTGAACTTTACCTTGGTGGCCCAGATGCTCCCGTCACAGGGAACACAAAAATACAGTGAGTTAGGTGATCTAGAAAAAAAACAGGTAGTACTTGAAGGGAAGGGTAGTTGTTTTTTTAAATTTTATAGCACATCTTGCGACAAAGGGTACAGCTGTGAGTTTCTCTCCTTTGTTGCACACAGAATGGTTTCCCCATACCCAAAAAATAAACCAAAAAGGGAACAAGAGAGGATATTGGCTATGTGAGGGAGGGAAGTGAAAGTAATATTCAAAGCTATCAGAATATATAAAACAAGACAGAAAAAGAAGAGATTTCCCTTTCCATCATCTCTAGCAGCACTGCCCTCAGGGGTGATTAATGAGAGATGTTTGACAGGCTCATCACCCAAGAGCTCCTGTGCTGCTCCACGTGCCCACAAGCCCAGGACTTACACTGCCATGCCACCAACAAACTCTTCCGTAGCCTGGCAGTAGATTGTGATGGCAACACGGGCATCGGCGTCAAATGTGAACTCCAGGCTGTATAGGACTTTCTGTTTCCCATTCTCCTCAGTAGGACTGTCAACATCATCTTTATACCTGAAAGACAATGCCAGAGGATTAGAACATATATTTATGAGATATCATCAAGATCACTCTGGAAATCAGGACAAGAGTACTCCAATCTAGGTGTTCTGAGCAAGCAAGGCACCATGATCTTCCAGCTGGGGCTTCTCAGGAGATTTCCATTCTTTCCTCTGAGGAAGGTTCTTCCAAGATTTGACTGAAGTTATTAAAGTGAATCATGTAATGACGGTGTTGAGGGATGTCACCCAGCCTTACCTTGCCAGGACACAGAATGACACAAGAAAGCAAACTCTTGAATGCCAAATCCTTAGGAGAAGAAACATTCTCCCTCCTTTTAAATCTTGACGTTAGCCTCAGTATTTGGGCTCAAGAAATCCTGTGTCGGCCTGAGAAGTCTAAAGTCTAATTCTTTCAACTCTGCAGATGAAATGGTGCATGACAGGCAAAAAACAAGGTTTCTGTAACACAAAGAGCTCCTGAAGCTCAACAAAAGGTACCTCCAGTAACACACAGAAGATGATATTCACATCAGGAAGCATCCAAATATAGGAACTTCAAATACCTTTAAATGTACAAATCATCAACTAAACCTTTGATGCTGCTAATGACTGACGCTTGCACACATTTATTGTATGAACAAAAATTAACATATTCAACTGCGTAACAGATGCATGATAACTGATACAAGAATGAGTTTAGAAGTTATTTCAATTAACATAAAGGTGAGTCATAACTAGGGCTATGGGTCACGGTACAGTTGGATCCCACTGTGTGATCACCACTGCCCAGTATTACTCCTTCTCCCTACTGCTGGAAAAGGCAGGTAACAAATTTGGTGAAGAAGATGGTATGAAGCAAGCCCTAGGGCAGCGAGCTATGGCCGCGGATGAGCAGTGAGTTATGGCGTGCCAGGAGCGGCCAGGGTGATCAGCAGATCCTGGAACAAGCAGCCAACACAACACACCATGAGAAGATCTCTCCTACCTTGAAAAGCAAAGTGATAGACAGAACGGACGTGCCTCACTGGCAGGGCAGCAGCAGATTGCTATATGTAAATTCAAATCCCACTGTAATCGTATGACTGTAGGTACCACCGTTAGCTCACTCACTGTGTAGGAATGGTGAATGCAGCAGGTTGCCTTTGAGAGGTGTACACCACCACTTGAGTTACCATCCAGCTCCAGCCTCACTTGTCTATTGGTATTACCTTAATTGTCACGATGCCAGGGTCAAAGCCAAGCAGCTAAACTATTCAGGAAAAGCTTGGCACCATCTCTTGACTTCACAGTATCAGTCAGCCTCTCCCTTCATTAAACAGCCTCAATGAATGTACTGCACTGTTGAAAATACTCAGAAATGGGCCAGGCGTACCTCCATAATTCAATCTAAAAATCGTCAAGGGAATCCTTATTTACCGACTTCATTGAGATGTAATATCTGCTGCCTAATTAAGATGGTTCCAGCATGAATTTTACTTAACACCACACTGAACAAGAACGAAATGTTCAGTTTCAGTAGTTTAATACAGAAGGTGCAAAATAAAATTTAAAAGCAGTATAATCAAATACCTAACACACATACTTGTACTAATGTAACCCTAGTGAATCACAATAGCATTCACTTGCACTCCTGTCTGAAGGACTTGGAGAACTCCAAACAAGAGTTTTGCCAGAAATTCACCTAGGTCAGAACAGCATATCAAGCTAGAATACACCCAACATGCTAGCATAAAAAAGACAAATCCAAGAACCAAGAGTCTGAACAGCAGCAGCCTGGATACAATATATAGGATAGCACAAGATGGTATTTTCACACAAGCTAGTTGCATTCAAAGAATAAAATCATGGCACTTGAAGGCTCTAAACAACAAACACTCTAGCCAGAAGGGCAGGTTTGCCTAGAAAACATGGGGGTGGCATCAATATTTTGTGCAGGACTGACCCAAGAACACAGATGGCAACAACCTGCTCACAAGTGTTGTGTGTGTCCAAGAAAGCAGCAGCACAAGATTCTGCAAATTATCTCTTGCTGCGCTGCCCTCCATTGATCCAAGGTTGGCAGCGAAGGACCCAGGCTACGATACACCTCTCAATTCTTCCAGAGGAAGTACGATGGGGGAGAACCAGCACCCCTTCCAGGCAAGCACCGATGAAGGCTACCTTCATAGGCCTATACTCACTGCATATATAGGTAAGTATTAAAATAGAGATGCCCGGCACTCACGTGACTTACGGGTTGACAACACAGATCTAGAGGTCTATAACAGCCTCAAGTACAAGGTGGGAGACCTGGGGGTGGGGGCAGATCACACAAAAGCAAGATGTCATTAGTAAAACCATTGCCTGTTCTGTTTTCTCAGTGAAGTCACAAAAAGCATATGGGTTCCCAGATCACCCTCCTGCTCCCAACTTCACCTCTGCACCTCCCTGCCAGCACTCAGAATGTGCTTCCATCCTTTCAAGAAGGGGTTAAAGCTAGGCTAGAATAGATCTGTTACCCTGGGAAACCACTGAGGGGCCTGGAGAGAATGTTCCTGGAGGATGCATCTGCTGGGAAGTGGGAGAGTCAGAGCCCTGCCTGCCTGGAACAGCATCACTCAAGCAGGAGGCAAGATACACATGCCTAAATGGCGACAGTCACAGCAAGGCTGTGTACACATCTTGCTGTTGCAACATGCCTAGTGCTGGAGGTTAAGAAAATCATCTGCCACATAGCAAGGAGTTTAGGTGAGAAAAGACAGCATAAGCAGCTATGCCAGCTGGTAGCTGGACCAACAGACAAGCAAGGACTACTTTGGTGCATACTTGAGAGGCAGAGACACCTCATGTTCCACCTTAAGGTGCAGGAACGGTTGGATGTAACTTCAGGGGAAGTAACAAGACAAAGTCACACATTTTGCATTCCTTCTTTCTTTGCAACTGACATGGCAGACAAGGAAGTGGTTTAGGAGTGGTTCAGGTGGTTCAAGAGCTCTTCTGTCTCCACCTGCACTTGAAGTTTACAGTGTACATTTAGTCAAGCCCTACAGACAGTGTTCATGTGAGGTGGCCACGGATGCATGCACAAATTTAGAAACCAGTGACTTTGCTAGGTGTGCCTCTTGGTCATGCACACAAGTTAATCGCATAGCCTTCACAATCACGTGTAGAGAGCAGAAGAGACTGACCACCTTTGAGAACAAACAGCTGATCCAACGTTATGATGAAAAAGGCAAAGCAGGATGACCAAGGGAGCTGAAGCCACCTGGTCTGACATCACTTCCGGATAGAACAATGGAAATGCTGGAACTTTTTGTTTGTCTGTTAAAGAATTAAAGATAAAAATACAATTAACAGCAGCCGTGACATTTTTATAGAAATAGGTTGATTCGAACCCGATTTCATCCTTTGAGGAGACTAAAAAGTTTGACCAACAAGTTAGTAGACATGCAGGATAAATGCTAAGTATTGCTTGACTTAGTATTGTCAGATACGCATTACAACAGCGTTAGAGCAGGCATCAAATGAAGTAAGAACTAGCTGACATCTCTATCAGCATTGACTTTCATGGGAGGAAATCGTTATCAAATGAAGGCTTTCCTATTTGGGGGTTCTGCAGAGATCTGTACACGGTTTAACGCTACCCAGGGCTGCAGAGCAGGCAGTCCCAGCACCCTCGCCATCACCACCTCCACCATGGGCTGAACAGTTCCAAGGATCAAGGTCAGTCCTGCTGCGCTGGAGAGGGAAGAGAAGGGATTTCCCTTCTCTCACTCTCAGTGACTCACCTGTCTCCCTTCGGTCCCTATCATCTGCCTCCCTGTCCGGTCTTTATCCAAAATGCTTGATGGTCTCACTACTCTCCATGATACTGATGCTGCTTCAGACACATTCCTAAACTACTGTAGTTGCCGATTCCTTTGGCACTTTTGTCCCATGATGCTATCCAAAGCCCATGCTGAAGTTGAGAGGCTGTCCCAGGATGCAACTTTTCCATGAAACACATTGCCTCATGAGTCGATCTTCCTCCTGCAACTGGAAGTGCTTTCAAGGTAAGAGTAAAGGGCCGGTACCAGTCTATCAGGTACTTCAGCTCTGAAATAAAGCCTCCAATGCAGAGCCAAAAAGCAACACAAGACAGACATGAGGCAGCCTTTTTCTGTTAGTGGTTAACAGGAAAACTCATGCCACCCTCCTCTGAGGTTCACAGAGCCTCATCCTGCTAGAAATCAAGCACTCACACAAGGTGTTGAAGACTCAGAACTTCAACACCAATATCCACAGGTTTATTGCTTTTCTCCAAAGCTGCTGTAAATATTCAGGATTTGGCAAAGCTCAGAATTTTGTCTGGTCAGAGCTGGGCAGGAAGCCCACAGTGGACATTTCCTCATATTCCTCCATAAAGCCCTACACTCCATATTATGGATCAACACCCTCTGCACAGATGAACAATGAATTTTCAATTAAACACAAGGTCAGGATTGGGATCAGCACTGTTTAACGTCTTTGTCTGCAACATGACAGTGGGATTGAGTGCA